CCCCCTTATACTCCCCCCATCCTTATCTTACACAGTATCCCCTCAGGAAAGTAAAACAAGGGTCACATGAATATTTGAAGAGGTCCGTGCCGAGTCAGGTCTCCGTTCCTTGATTCAGATTCATAAAAAATCTGATAATTGATCAAGTTTGCAGTAAATTACTGCCACTTCTTTTGATTTATTAAGGCATTAATTTAAGAGAAAGATTTGGTTTATTTTTTTTCCTTCTCTCATTTGTAGAAATCTTCCACTTTTACTTCAGTGCTTGATGACAACTCTAGTTAAGTGTTTAGGGTTTTTTTTGCACTGGAAAGCAACTGTTGGTTTTATAATAAAGCTGCAGCTTGTTTTCAATCATCCACTTTGTCGGGGGGCTGCTTGAGCTTTAGCAGAGACCCTGATCCCATTCAGCTCGGCTGATAAAAACAATACAATCTTTCCCATCTTAAAAGCTTCTCTGATAAACCAAATGTCAGCAGCACTGCCGTATCTTGATTGTTTGACTGCTCTCAGTGTCGGCGGCTGCTGCCAACAGAAAAGAGCCAGTCACGCAAAGGGGCTCGGCTGAAAACAGAACCATGTGTGGGGTTGTAGTTAGCGAGCGGTAATGCCAAAGAAACACTTCCTTCTCTTTAAATGTCTCTGTAAAGAGTCTGGCGAACGTAGAAAATTACCTCATCTTATGTTTTTGCACTTGTTGCCGAAGCTTTCCTCACATCTAAAACTTGGACGTTCTGTGTGCAGCTGCTTGTTGGCCTTTTTCTTTTTTTTAAACCAAAGGATGTGTAGTTAAAGGAAAATACCCTCAAAATGAAAAGTGAGGCCAGTAGAGGAGCAGGAAAGATGGTCTTGTTTGTTTCTAATTAGTTAGAACTACAACATTTACCCTTGATCTGGATTACAATGTCTTTCCTTTCCAAAAAAATAAACATACTTTTTGCTTGAATCATATTTATGACATCTTTTTTTGCTCTGTTCTTACTCTTGTTGGTTTAATCCTTAAATTTGTCGGGTCTCATTACTGAATCATCAGACTTATTGATTTAAGAATGTTATTTGCTTATATTTGATGGTTTTAAGTTTTCATAGTAGTGTTAGAATAAAATATAATATTGGCCTTACTCTGGCTGCTTAGGATTTGAGAAATTCCTCTCAGAAGAAACAGTTTCTGCTGCAGAATTCATCACAGTTTGTTTTGTTGTGGGAGTCTTTAAAACACAAATCAGGTCAGCTGCTTGCAGCAATAATTCATGTCGTATAAGCGCCCTTTTAATTTGATTGGCTGCTGTAATTCAAGTCTGGAAATAGATGTATGTACCAAAAAAACAAAAAAAAAACAAGCAAACAGTGCAACTGAAGCGGCCTCATTTCTGGTTGCTTGAATTAAAAGCAAATGGATAAATGCCCCTGTGGCTGAAATGCTGCAAGCATTAAAGATGCTGTTTTTAGTAGGATGCTGCATTATGAGGAAAAAAGGAAACGGATTCTGCTAAACCCACACAGCACTGCTTCTCTGGCTGGGAAACGAATCAGGGTTGTTTTCAAAGTCTGCAGAAGCAGGAAGAGACAAGTTGTTGAGATTATTTGTGTTTAATATTCCCTAAAAAATATATGATAATCTTTAATCACTAAACATCCCATAGTAACTGCATATACTCATATTATTCTAATTTCTTCATCCCCCATAGGAAAAAAAAAGTATCTCAAATAAAGCTAAAAATACATTAAGTTTTTGGGGGAGTTTTTAATATCATTTAGTCAATTAATCAACATTGTATATTGTATCATAATAGTGATAAACAATATGATAAATGCCCACCCATATCCATAAGTTACTTAAAATAGGAGAAAAGGATAAGATTTCTAGAATTCCTAAAACTGGGCTTTTTAAAGCTGCATACATTTCAAAATTTTATTTCATTACATTAAGAGCTACACTATAGTTCAAATCACAGTTTGCAATGCTAAACCATAACCTCTCAAAACCCACTGGGTTGTCGGCAACCCGTTTTATAGCGTTTACAAATAATAACTCAGAATGCAAGAAAATTACGCTGGTAAAACGTTTACCAATATAGACATGTTAGACATCGTTGGAAAGCTAAGACACAGCGAGCACCAAAGCACAATTAACACAGATATAGCAGCATGTCAAAATGTACCATGACAAAGCAGCCACAACAAGCAAGCATGTCTTTATAATTGCTGTTAAAAAAAAATGACCTATCATTTTTGAGAATAAAAAAAATAACGTTTAGTCTTGTTTGAACTGATGCAGCTTGGATTCTGCCCAATTTTCACGTATTCATATATGCAGGAACTAAAAGGTTTTAGCTTTCAAATAACGTATCACAGGTGTAATTTGGGCTTACAGGTCCTAGTTATTTGCTTTTCCATTTGGGTATGCAAAATAGGCGAGAATGTCACAAAATGAGGTGGATATTAAGAGGCTAAAGAACTGCTTGGATGTAAGGTGGTAGTTGTTTTTTTTTTTCAGGTGAGCTGCATTAGCGCCCCTGACCTCTGCATGTATATCCTATATTTGGCCGATTAGAGACCTTCACAATGACATTTATGCCCACAACTGACAGATCTAGGTGTTCAGAATGCTTACATGAAATCATGATGACTGAAAGTTAAGAACAGTGAGGGAAAAATGAGGTTATGTTAATGAGATCATCATTGTGCAGGCCTAGTGATAAGGAAGCTCATTTGTTCACTAAACAAATTAATGTAACTTATTTTTTATTTTCATAATGGTTTTCTCTCACAGTCTCCTTGATCATTCCACTTGGATACAGTAGCTGTTGACATGGTTACTGTGTCTGGACATGAAATTTGATGGTGTCCACAGGTTGTGGCGCTTGGTTTTCGGTTTCATTGACTGTGACAATGAGCGGCCAACCAACTAGAACGCTCTCCTGTTTCAGGGAACAGGTGGTGTCGCTGTGTTTTCTCTTAAGACGTTCATCATACTCTCGGCCTCAGTAATGCGTTACTGTAATCTAGGCCAAACATGCCTGGTCGCTTGACTTTCATTCAGCTAAATTAGCACCTTATTTAATTTATTGATAAGAGCATAGTTTGCAATAATTTACTCTAATATTTTTTTTTTATTTGAATCAATTGTGTTGGCTTTAAATTTAACGTTTGAATAACTACTGTATGTTTTTACCCTCATAATATAATAATATACGGCAAAGATTGTGTTGCTGTGTGACAGAAGCATCCTCAGCTTAGTGATTTTTATCTGTAATTGTCAGGGCCATCATTGTATTTATTATCCTTTCTGCAATCATTATTGTTATTCATGGCCTTCCGGTAATCCAAATGGTCTGTTTTTATCATCCGTTTCGCTTCGTTTAGATGTTCTAAGTGAGACTACTGATGAATGTAGAAATGTTTGCGGCTGTTGGGGCGTGTTCTAGATGAGCTGACATTTTGGGGTCATGTCCAACGCTTTGACCTCAGACATCAGCAATCTATTCCAGTAAACATGAGTCTCGCCCTCTTTATTTGTTTTTAGGCTTTCAGAATGTGTTGTTTGCTGCTGCATAAACTGACACAATCATTAGAAAGCATGTGTGTTTCTGTAACATCCAGCCGCAGTAAAAACGGCTCATCGTGAACAATTTAAAGAGCAAACTGAGACGTCACAATGAACCAAAGTATCGTTTTCTCTCTACTGTTTTGGTTCAAACAGGTTAGCAGATGTTGCTTTTCTCACTTATCTGGTTTTCATTGCATTGAAGGTCAATCACATTATTATGTGCTATGTGTTTATACTGTGTGTTTGTGTATGCTCAGCTGTTTGCTGCTTTCAAAAGCTTGGCTCAGCAGCAAAGCGTTTGATTAAAAACCCTGGAAGTTTCCCAAGTCCTTCTAGGCGGGTTCTGGTAAAGTGGCATGCTGACTTGATTAAGGTACCTATGTAGGTTTTAATCAAATTAGGAGTTTTCTTTAGGGCAAAGCCAGCCACTGTCTGCCTCTATGCAACTAGCCGCTAAGTTAAAGATGAAACTCTGGAAGTTTTCCTTTGTTCTTAGGTTTTTATAGATTACCTGCCTGCTCCTCTTAGTATTAAAATAGCCTTTATCCTCAGTCCATCTCTTAGCTTTTAGACCTTAGCTTCTGTAGGGGTCCTGTAAACTGCAGAAAGCATCAGTGTTTACTTTTTAATGAAAACTCCATGCAGAGATGATAATGGTGTCATGATTCACTCTTTGCAGTAATATACATAGTTTATTTATCTCTTGCATAAACAAATCAGCACATTATCCCAGTGTATTTCTTAGGATCAGAGAGGCAAGCTGTTTTAGATAGATGATACTGTAAAAAGGCCTATAATGTATTTCTATCAATTATTTATTATCTATTTCCTCTCTTGAAGCTATTTTTAACATGTCCATATCTGAGCAACGCAAATGAGCCTCTTTCAAAATGAAATTATGTCTGATATATAGAATCATGTAATGCAGAAAGCCAAGGCTTTTGCTTTCCATTTAAATTTGAAAGGCTTTGCCTAGCTTTAAATTGCAATTTGAAGGCTGCCTTTTCTAATGTCATCTTTAAGTTTTTATTGGTTTGTTAATCCTTGTGACTTGTTGTCTTTTCTTTCAAATAGGATATTAAATGTTTTTTCTAGGATCTGGCTTTGTAAATCATTAGACTTCCATTTTATACTTTGATTTTTTTTTATTTTACTTGTTTCATTATTTATTTTTTGCATATGCTTGTTGAACTGTCATTGACTTTGCAATTAATAGAGATTTGACAATAATCCTGTTCCGTTGAGTATGGCCAAAAGCAATGTACAATTAATTATTTCTTTTTCTACTTTTCCCTGCTAGGGAACATACCTTCTATGGATATAGTTTGGTCAGTTTCTACCTCCACATCAGAAAGAAGCTGCATTACTCTGATATTACTCCAGCGCTCCAGAGTTTAGTTTCTTTTTACGTGTGTCTCTAAACTAAAACATGATCTGTTTTCCTTCTCAGATGAGCCCTTGCCGGACTCACACTCCTCCCCTGTTGACGTTTTTGGAGGTGCTCCAAGGACAACAGAATCATCACCAGCAGCCTTACCACACTCTCATTATACTGCCTTTAATGTCCCAGCCTCACCTGGTGCCCTGTTCTCCTCTCCTGAACCGGTTCCCAAAGCAAGGACTGTTGACAGAAAGCTTTTTAAATCAGCACCCCATGCATATGAAAACATTCAATCCACAATGCCAAGAAAGGCCTATGTAGGAGAGACAAATGTCCAGAATAGTACATCAGCAAGCTCTAATGGACCTATCCAACGGTTTGAGGCATCAGCTACTAGCTCCTCTAAAGGGAGGGGGGTAAGGACTAATTCTGACCAGCAAGAATATAATTTTTCCCTTTATTCTTTGAGAACTGAGCATCTATTCCAGTCAACCTCAAGTCCTTCTGCTTTGACAAAACCCACACCTCATCCAGACCTTGCCTACCCAGAGGAACCAACTCCAAGCATGGTACAGAGTGGTCCGTCAAAACAAATGCAGTTTATCACGACCTCATCAGCTGACCTGCCTCTAGAATCTCCCAAATTGTTTAAAGCTTTGAGGAACGAGTCCGATAGCAAAAAGGTTGTTTCAAGTAGCTTGAACGCCAGCATTGTTCCATTGGTGCAGACCAAACTTGAACAGAACCTAAACACACTACCGAACGTCGATGAGATTATGGCTCCTGGTTACCACGTGCCTTTCATCACCCCCCAGTCCTCGAGAATTTTAGCTGAAGCTAACGATGTGCCTCCAGATTACTCCTACCCTACCAACATGGAAGAACACTGGGGTTCTGGGGATTACTTGGAAACCATGTCCTACTTCAACGCAGATAAAGACGTTTATTCTCCAGTCACTAAGGTGATCTCTGACCCCTATGATATGGAGGTAAACACAGAGATCTATGATACATCCTTTCCTTCCAGAGTTGGCTTATCACCTTCATCCATGCACCCTGTTTACATTTCACCTTCCCCCAGCCTCATAACTGCATACCTCCCCATTGTTCCACATCCATCGATTCATCAATCCAGACTTTCTACACAGACTCCCTCTTTACAGAACCCTACTCCCGCACCTAGCACCGACGTCCCTAACATATCTGAAGCAGACTGGGGAGATGTCTTCACTATTCGGCCAACAGATGTGCTCTTACCGGACATGAACAGCTTGGAGTATTACACCACTCAGCTGTCAAAGGACAGTGGTGTTTCAGAAACAGGAGCAGAGTACAGCGAGAACACCACTGAAGTGTCCATCAATGCTACAATGGTCCCACCCAACACCGAGTTCACCACCGATCATCAAATAGAGGCCTCCAGCGATCTGTCAGGGTTTGGGCCTCAATATGAGTCCCCTACAGCAGTAACCACAGAAAACACTCAGCTGATAAATTCCTCTGAGCCTATTCTGGATCCCTCCATTGTCTCACCCTATGTCTTTGATTCCTCTTCCTCTGTGTGGGGTGGTCTGGTTTCCACCACAGGCTGGTCCACACTTTCACCAACTGTAGACATGGATACTGAATTAGAAGAGCCTTTACAGCCAAGTGTGACTCCTTTACTACCAGAGGACCTATTGTCCTCTTCATCATCTCTGACTGATGTCCACTGGTTTGTTACTGAATCCTTTGACAGTCCTACACTCAGACCTCCTGTAATAACTCCAACAATAGCCTTCTCTCCAGTTCCTACTGAAAACGGCACTGCTGTCACAACTGAACTAATGTCCCCCGACTTATTTACCACTGAACAAACTGACAATATGACTCTAGCTTCAACTGAACCCTCATCTCACAATGCTACCCTGGTTCCTCCAGTTATGTTTGGTGATCAGAGCGTGACTGAAGATGGACCCGACAAGCCATCCACCATGACCTCAATCCCAACAAACAGTCAGTTTATCACTATTCCTGCAATGAACACAAGTCCGGGTGCCACAAACACTCCACATCAAGCGACAGCCGCAACTTCTGCTGCCACTGAGACCTCAACCAGTGTCAGCATCATCGCTACTACCAGCAAAGAAGCCGCAGCTGCATCAACAACGAGACGGTACCTCTGCAAAGTTGACAGCCCCAATTATCTAACAAGGACGGGTAAACTGAGCTCTGTTTTTATCCTGGGTTTCTTTATCTTGTCAATAGTAGATAAATATTCATATTGATGAGATTATAACCACAACATTTTTCTTATAAAGGTTTTCCTTCTGGGGTAACTGTTGGTTTTGCCAAATCTCAAGTCAGAGACATTTTAAAAGTGGAATTTAACAAGTCCGTGGAGCTGCAGGTAAGATCATTTTTCTCTCAATATTGCATTTTAAAGTGGAAACATGGTTCAGTATAATGACATGAGTATTATCGTGCTTTAGAGTGTTATATTCATTTAAAGTTTTTTAAATGATTTATAGCATTTTCTTTTAAAAAGCATGTTTTCTTGAGATTTAGCCATTCAGCCATTCAAAATATCAGACAGGGAAACTATCCATGCAAACATTGACCATTAAAAATAGTACTTTAACTGAAATAAACTTAAAATAAAATAAGGTGTCATTATTTTATGGTTTAGTTCTCTGATAAATCACATTTTACAAATGATGATCTTTTTCAAGTTTTTTCCAGTTCAGGATGGGGGAACCAAAAGCCATTAGTAAATATTCAGTTCAGTTTATTTATGTAGCTCCAATTCACAGGATGCAAATAAAGGTACCTTAGAGAGAGTGTCCAATCTTTTTTTGAAGATAAAACATTTAAGTTGGACAAAAAACAAAAGCTGAAGTAATCTGTAGAAATGTTATACTTCTTATTTGGTATTTACTGTCTAGGTTGTTAGCCTGCCGCCACAGCTTGTCTTCCGGGTGGTGTCGGGTCCAGTAGTGTACACAGCCATATCTGTCATCAATGCTCTGAGACGGTCTGGCCGACGTTTCCTGTATGTGTCCCCTAACCTAACAACACCAGACCGGAAGTACCAAGTCCACACAGGTACACTTACGCTTCTAATGTTGCTAAAAACATTCACTGTGAATGCACATTAAACCCTCCCTGAGTTTCTCCATCCTGTTCTGTGTGCAGTGCTGCAGTTTGTCCCTGGTCACATAGACGTAAGATACTGCAGCTTCTTTGAGAGCGTTGAGAAAGGTTTGACTATGGCTTTTGCAGAAGTGCGCCGTCGGTCAAAGGAGTCAACAAACTTCACGGTGCATGTGAGTTGTATGAGTTTACATCTAAAATCTGCATAACCTGGTTCACAACTGTATAAAGGCCTAGGAATTTAGTTTTTTTCTCTTGCTCTATATGTTTTTGGCAGCAATTAAATATATTCAGGAGACATTGGAATTAGTTCTTTGCAAAGTGGGCTTAAAAATGGTAAAGTGGACAATGTTGAAAAGGCAACAAGTCAAGTTGTAGACGTTTTGTAATCCTATGAACACAAATAAAGGAGTGTAGATTTCTAGCTCTTTAAATCCAAACTACTGTTCTGCTTCTTAGTTTGTCCTTCTTAAGTCCACTCTATCAGAATAGGAACGTTTCTGCAGCTCTTTGTAAATAGCTCTTTATCGTTGAACTGACAAACTCATCTTTTGGCTCTTTTCAGATTCTCAACATCACAACATCTGCAAACAAGTATGCAGAACAGCAACTGGTGAGGCAGCCAGTGGACATTACCTTTACTGTCAGTGGTTCAAGGAGTTATCTGATGGGGTCGAAGGTCAGCAATGCTCTGATGAAACTCACAATGGTAGAATTTAGCTACTACATCGGTTTCCCAGTGTTGCAGATTGCAGAGCGTGAGTACCATAAGATTGGATGTCTGGAAAATCCAGCTGTCTCCTTCAGGATCGCCAATGTTGTTCTAATGGGTATTTCTGTCCTGAAGCTTTCCACTATCCGGAGCTCAACACCAGCCACTTGCTTCGCTCCTCCTGGGTTAGAACAGGTAACATGGTTCCAGTTTCTGGCCCTGCTTGTAAATAGAGAGCTATGATGATTTAAATTACTTTTAATTTCTCTTTCTTAGTACTTCTTGGCGTTGTTGACAAGAAGATGAATGAAAGGACCTTTCAAGCTAACATGGAGCGTAGAGTGGCCCTGTTGCTCGGGGAAGCCATGGGACAAGTGAGGCGGGTCAAAAGAGCAACCACAGTTGGTAACAGTAGCGTACAGGTAAAAAGAAAAGATACCAATATCAGAACTTTGAGCTTAAACTGTTAACTGAGCTGTTGCAAAACGATTTTTAGCAAAACTAAGGATCCTGACTCAGTATTTAAACTTCCTAACTTATAGAAAGTCACCTAAAAATCCTCTGAAAGTGTAATAAGCTTTAAAAGAAGTTTTCTCTCTCCTAATGTGAAAGGAGAACCCCAGGATTTCAAGTCGTTTCAGATTTAAAAGAAGTATGTAACAAATTGCGTTTTACAGATCACATTATCTTCATTTCTGAGGGCGAGTTTGAAATATTAAAAAAATTTGAAACTATAAAGCTTCAGCCTGAAATGAAAATACACCCTAAATGTAGGAGACATCAAACCCTTTAAAATTCCAAGAGCGTTATAGCTGGGTTAATTTGTTTCTAAAATACAAAATGCTTTAAATCCTAAAGTATAAACTCAATGGCTGAAAAACTAATTCTGATAGTTCAAGTTAACAGAAAACATTAGTCTAGGTTAGTCGCTAAAGCGGTTAAAAAAAACCAAATCTAAAATTTTAGCGCGTGCTCTCCTAAAAATAAAAAAAAAAAAATAAATCCCACAATACTTTAGAGTAAATATAGAAGTACCACCGATATCATGGCTATTGGGGCAAAGTCTTATAAGCTGTTATTCTTCTGCTAGATGCTGTGAAAGCCAATGGGGGTGAAAATAGCCTCTGGTTGTTTAATCACATAATGGTTCAGTGCCAAGCTACACAGACTCAAACCAATTGGTTTCACTTATTTAAGTCTGAAACTTAAGTTTTAAATAAAGAGAAATCCCCCAAAATATTTCATATTTATTTTTCTGTTTACCTGGAGCATCATTATAGACGGTGGAGACTCTCTTAGTGCCGGGAGCAAGTACAGAGGACTCATTATGTTTGTCTCAGTGTTGGCAACCAGTGAAAACCTTAGTGCTTCACTCATCAAGCTTTAGCTTTTGTGGGTCTCCTCTGCACCTGCTCATCTCATCTCTAAGGGGGGGCAGGATGTTGCTTTATTTCCATGGCAACAGCATCCCATTTGCCCAAGAGACAAACCACTTAACAACCTCCACCTAAAGGGGTTCAGATTTCTGTTGCCTCTCCTTCTCGTCTTCGCTCGCCTGCTGCCGAGAGCCACAGACCCGCTAACAGCAGATCAATTATTCATTTGGTCCCAGTCTGTACCCTTCAGTTGGGCTGATTAAGAGTTGTCTATTTTGGAAAAGCAGTGGCTTCAGTGGGGCAGGAATTAAAGATGAGATGAAAATGTGAGAGATGAAAGAAACTGAGGGCGAATGAGTGTTAAAGCAAGATAAAAGGGACTTGTTATGAGGGATATGGGATACATATTTTATCTGACTCTATGAAATTTAAGTGTATAATGTGGATGTTAAACCAGGTGCCTGTTAGAGTACTAATATCAAACTCAGCCTTACTGTTTCTGATCAATCTGCATCAGAAACTATACCAGTTTCCCCACCAAATCAATTTTAAATTAATATTTAAACAAGGTTTTAGATCATAAAAGCATTTTTTTTGTGTAGCCTAAAATATTTGTATTGTTATTTTAAACTTATTTTAGTATTTACATCTTTAAAACAGCTAATCCTTGATAGTTGAATGACTTAAACGTATATACCTGCTGATTCACATTCTGTATATTCGAACAGAATCTCTGAACTATCATGACGGTATGATTAGCTTCACCATCCATTAAAATACCTGATGAGGCTTCCTAAGCAGATAAAAGAGGGGGCTGGGGGTAATACTACATGCATTCATGATGACCTCATTCCACTCTAATAACTCTGCATGGACTACAATTGACTGCATGACGATGTCTGCCCAGTGTTATTTTTTTTTTCTCCTAGCCCAGACGTGACCTGAGCTTTAGGCTTTCCGGTTCTACAGACAGCAGCAGAGCCTGAGGGCATCAGGCGGGAGACTAGTCTCTCAAACAAACACACACGCTTTGAACACTGACTGAGGATGTTGCATTGACTTCCTTTTTTATGTTTTTTTTTTTTTTCAACCTTGACCCTAAACTCATTAATGGTACTTAATTTATTTTACCAAAACCTAATTCCTACCTTTGTCCTACACTTAACATTTAGCCCCCAAAAAAGTGTCAATCAGAAAAAATCATCACTTTACATTTATGTACCCTAAAACGAATTTAACCGAGGGAAGTGAGGTCTGCAAAGCTTTAGATTGTATTCCAGGTTCTTCTACCTCCTTTTAGAAGTGTCATTTATGAGCTCTTTGGGGGAGTGGGTCCTAGAGGTTCGGAGTTCAAGCCCCACTCCCACGGACTCCCACTCTGGGTCCCTGAGCAGGACCCTTAACCCCACACTGCTTGATAGGCGCCGCACAATGGCAGCCCACTGCTCCCCAAGGGGATGGTTTAAATGCAGAGAGTTAATTTCATTGCTTTGTACTTGTGACAGTGTAATGGCAATGAAGTTGAATTTAATTCTGTTCTATTCTCTGTGAGTAATCTGGGTTGGCCAAGCGCTTCTGGAAAGATTTTTGAACGTTCCATGATTTCTACATTTGTGGATAGTAGTTTTCAGCAACATTGCCTAGAGTCTTAAAGCCTTAGAAATGGATTTGTTACTTATGCCAGTCTGATAGATTTCACTTTCTGTTCTTTAATATCCTCCAAACGGGACAAAATGTGTTGTCGGGCTTTGTTTAATTGATTTCTTGAATCTTAGCTTCTGGTAACCAGCAATTAATTGCCTCTCTTCCACCATTTTTGTACATGACAAATAAAGTAATTAATCAAGGTTGTATTAAATATCAAAATTAATTTGGTAGACTTTAACATTTAAGTTTGTGCAAAAAACATAAGCGTAAATAATCTAAATGGATCAAAAACATTCCCACATTTGTTTAATGTGATATTGTCCCATTAATTGTTTTGCACTTTCTGTGGGAGCAGTAAACATATGACAAAAGCCGTAAAGAAAACGTATCAATTTGTAGAAACTTTCCTCTGAAGGCTCAGCATATTATTGTACTATAGCTTGTTACATGGCGGAGCCAAATCTGTTGGGCCCAATTTTTCTTCCTGCTGTCAAGCACAAACTCAACTGCTCCAAGTTTGAACGTTTCACTGTTAATGAGGCGCTGCCTTCTTCATTAGAAGTTTGTTTTAGTTTTTTTTTCCAAGGCAGATGTGACACATTGCTAGTTAAGGTCTTCTTTAGAAATTCCATTCCTAATTTAGAAAGTGGACTTCGTCATCCTCCCCAAATAGTTGGTTCCCTTCTGGAAGTGCTTCTCTTTAACTGTTGTTTTTAAAAACAATAAAATATCTGCAGAGAAACACAACAGATTTAAACCTCCCTGATTACAGTATAGGGTTAGTAATGTAGCTCACTGTGAACCCAACTGAACCTCAGAGCTTTGATATAAAAATACAGGTGGACTGATTAATAAAGACAACTATGACATTATAAGTGCTGATTCTACAATCACAAAAATATTTCACCCAAAATTTAGGATTTATGTATTTTTGTTAAATAACAAACTCCGCTTTAAGTTGATTAGATAATTTTATCACAGTCCTAATTAATAAACTTTACATGATTCATATTCATTAATTTTAGTGTATTTACTTCAAATACATATGGTTTAATTGTTTAAATTCCATAAACAATCATTAGGTTACTTTCATGCAATTCAATCACTAATTTGATCTATTTCAAATGAATGCACTAATTAGTGTTATTTTAAGTAACCATACTGTATCAATAATAAATACTAAAGAAGGAAAGAAAGAAAGAAAGAGAAAGAAAGAAAGAAAGAAACAAACAAACAAAGAAAGAAAGAAAAGCTCTTGAGTGTATATCTACAAACAGCAGTGAAGGGGTCATTCTTCAAAAGATGTTAAGTATATAATAAAACTTTATATCACCTCTACTTCTGAAGTAAAGTGATTTTGAAAATGTGTCAAACTTAACCAGCATCTGATGTGAATGGTAATGGTGGTGGCCTGCTGCTGCAGTAGGCTGGCTGTCTGCAGGATATCACCTTGACACGATGTCTTACAGAACAACCGTTTCCAGTTAACATGTCCTTTTTTAAGCAGCTGTGAAACTATCTGCTCTTTGTGTCCAATATGTGCCTTGAAATGTCTGAAAACCTGTGTGACATTGTTAAAATTGTAAAAAAAAAAAATAAATAAAAGAAAAATAAAAAAGAAAAATTTTTAAGGAAAAATCAACTCCTGTGTAAAACTACAACTGTTATGTGACGCTCTTGTTTTAAAACAAGTCCATGTTCCTTTTGAGTCGATGCTGAAACTGTTTGATTTTCCTTTTCTCAGGTTCTGAGTGTGAGCCGCCTGGAGGGAGCAGAAAACCCAGCACAAATGGTGTATTTTGTGGAGGGTCAGGATGGTCATCGGATGCCTGCAGTTCAAACTGCCGACCTTCTTAACAGCCTGGACGTTCAGAGGGCTGCCATTATCCTGGGATACCGTGTGCAGGGCATTTTGGCTCAGCGTGAGTATTGTGTTCTTGATTACGGAGATGTAGTTACTTGTTGGAGTTAAGAAAAAAAAACATGGAAAAACCTTTTCACTGACAGCATGTCTAGGGCTCTAGTATGCCTACTTATGTTGTAAAGTTATAACCTTTTTCTTGAATACTGAAAAAAAAATCTGAATTAAAATATTTTTATCTAATCATTTTTATAGTTGGCTTTTAATGCTTTTAATGCTCAAGATGATTGATAAACAGACAAACCTTAATGCGCTATATTTGATGCTGTATCCCTGTTGATGTTTGATTGAAGCTGTAGAGAAGGTGGCCGCCCCCCCTTCTGACACAGAGAACACCAACATGTGGATCATCGTCGGGGTGGTGGTTCCTCTCCTCGTGGTCCTCATCATCATTTCCATCCTCTACTGGAAGCTGTGTCGGACCGACAAGCTGGAGTTCCAGCCAGATGCTATGGCCACCATCCAGCAGAGGCAGAAGGTATGCTGCCCATCCATCCTCATCCATCATTCATTTATCTATCCATCATCATCCATCCATCCATTCATTCATCCATCCATCCATCCATCCATCCATCCATTCATCATCCTTCCATTCATTCATCCATCCATCCTCATTCATCCATCATCCTTTCATTCATTCATCCATCCATTATCATCCATCCATCCATCATCCTTCCATTCATTCATCCATCCATCATCATCCATCCATCCATCCATCATCCTTCCATTCATTTATCTATCCATCATCATCCATCCATCCATTCATCCATCCATCATCATCCATCCATCCATCC